GGGAGATGCCTTTTCTTTTCAAGTATGACTTGGTATTCATGTTAGTTGTTAACCCTCGCCTCAGTTGCTCGGAAATCCATTCAGTCAATCAGGTCAGCGTGTAATTAGGCCTCACAAGCCAGGGTGCGGTCGATAAAACAAAAACGTTCGTCAGCGATGAGATAATTTGCTGCTTAGTTATTGCATGACTCAGTACAATTAATGATTCGACCTGGATACGAGGCACTTCAAAACGCATTCGTGTAATGCAGGATCAGCGTGCTGACCTTGACCCCCGCCCGACGGGCGGAAGGAGGTCTGACTGTTGAGGCCTGACTGCCCCTCGCTCTGAAGTTGTTATTGAGTAGCTTGGCAACTATTTTAATGTCATGCTGATTTTCAGTAGCTGCCTAGATGACAGGCGTGTTGCACTGTCACTTTTCAAGCACTTCATATGCTCCATTTGTGGAGGTCATGTTTGTCAAGTTTGTCGTCAAGTCGACAGTTCTGTCCACTTCTTGGAATTTGGCATATGGTTCTTATTCGATTGTTAAATATAATCGTTTTTGGCACCAGCGATATCAGGCCTGATTCTGGCTGAGGATCAGGGTCATCATGGTCATGCTAGGGTTATGCATCAGATCATGCTAGGCCAGGGGTCTGGTATGGTTAGGCCAGTTCAGGTCAGAGTGCTGGCCCGGCGACCCTGAGTGAAGCCGTGACCTCGGGTGCGTCCACAGACCGAGGGGTCTACATAACGGCAGATCACGCCGCAAAATTGTCGCTGAGCGGGCGGATTTGGGCAGCATTGGTTCCGGGACAACGTGATCACTTCCCATTTGCTGTCGTCGCCTGGCAAGGAGCTGGTCGAGGGCTTCATGCCTACAATGGCAACGCGTATTCGCATCTTGCGTTACCGAAGTTGTTGGAGCAAGTCAAGTTTCGACTTGAGAGTTGTCATATATATACCTGATTACTCTCTGTGTGACATATGCTCCGGGCAGTCTTGGACGCCATGTTTCCTTTCATAAGCCTCATTATCTTCAATTCTCAGCCTTGCTAAGCCTTCTATGTCTTCAATAAGTCTTATGATATAGTCTTCTATATAACTCACCTAAGCCTTGTATACACTTGTTATATAAGCCAGTTCAATGTGAGATGTGAGAACCCGCTTCAGTTCACCAGTTATCTTTGGGGATACCACTTCATATGGGACTGATGACACCTCACCTACGCAGGGAAAAATCTAGGAATTTGTCACTAAATCGCCACTAAATCTAGGGAGATGGAGATCACTCAATTTAATGATATGCTCAGATTCAATAATGAGGATTTGAAATGAATGCTGGTGACTTATCCACTACTGCGCTAACACCAGTTAGTCCTACTCCTGAAGTATTGGCTACATGTATGCGTCGTAAGTCAAATTCAGGGGGAAGGTTTTCCACGCCATTTCTTGCGGAATAAAACATTGTATGAAAGACAGGACGGAGCGGGGTATTGCAAATGAATGGTGATCTACTGCTACTCTTCAATCGGTCTTCTTTCTCTCCTAGCTCGGGAATTATTTACAAGTCAGCTCGAGTACGTTTAGAGAGAATGATTCACATGTAAGCTTGAGCACGTTTAGCGGGAATGATTCACATGTCAGCCCGAGTACGTTTGCAAGTTGATTGCGACTCTCATCTGTCCCTGATGGCGTCGTGAAAGGTGCCGAGAGAAATTGCGATTTTAAGAAATCGCCGTTTCAACGCATCTGCGCCAAAAGATCAGCACCATAATCGGTGGGAGGCATTCTGGCAACCATGAGCTATAGTACGCAACGACTGCTTGCTTGCCCACTTACAGCGTACCTGCCATGAAGGAGAAAAAAAATGACTACCATTTAATTATAGAGAGAGTAACGCTCACCGCCCGGTCCCCTTTTGGCGACCTACGTCCACATCGTTTCACTCCCATTCAGTCTGTAGGCGGGGAAAAAAGAACAGAATGGCTATTTTGAAACAATGATAGCCTCGTAAGCAGATATGCCCGCGGGCTATTTTCACATACACCGATAGCGAGCACTGCACTGTGCCAAGAACCAATTAATCTCGCATGCCCCACGAGGAACGGGGGGAGGGGGAAGGGGTGGGACTGACAGCCCCCGACTTCTTAGCTAATACAGATAGAGGATGGGATTGGAGACCACCGTTTGTTAAAAGCATGTACCGGCCGGCTGTCCGTCCCAAAAGTAACTTCAACCTTTCATCGCGCATTATATTCACTTTAAATGCGATGCTCATTAAAGGTTTACATACCAGCATATCCACCATTAATTTGCACACAATTTTGAGCCCAGCATGGCATGCTTGCTACGAGGTGATACAGAGTACCGGTCGAAACGCGACCCCGCGCGTTCAAGCGCGACTCCAGCTGACATGACATGGTAACTGCCTCTTCTTCAGCCAGGCGTTTTCGCAGAATTCACCACGTACTTTCTATGGGACTGAGATCTGACTAGACTGGCCGTATGACTTTGTACCAAAAGCTAGGAGGATGGCGTGTGCACTACTTCTGGCTCCGTCCAGAGGTATGAGCTGTTCGTCCGTCCTGCATGCAGATTGCCTGCGACCTCGGCCCAGCCCCTTTGCTTTTGGTGGCGCTGCACGTCACTGACGCGCGACCGGTTTGTTCCGGGAAGCAGCGACCTCCTCAGTATTTCACATAGTCTGATGTGGCCGTTTGGCTTAGAGGCGCAATGTGATGTTCGGTAAACGACTGAGCGGATATTACACCCCACATTAGCAGCTTCGCAGGGTGCTCGACTTATTTGACTGACAACGTTTGATCGCTTAATATTACCCAAATACGGCTGCTTTGGCGATTCAGCCTATGCTCAATTGAGAAGATCGACCCGATGGAGGGAATAGTTCATACGCCCGTGAATGCTTGACTTGAACACTGGGCGCCCTTGTCTGGATAGCTGTGGTGCTTATTTGCGCACGCCTTGATCACGCTTGGTCTAGACCCTTGCCACATGTGATTTCGGGAACTCTATCGATTGCAGTAGGCCGACGAGTGCGCTTTTTGTCAGCCAGAAATTTGTCCTTCAAATAGTTTCTCCACCACATATTTGAAGGTTGGGGCACATGTGAGCACTTCTGGCCTCTGCAACTACATCCAGGCTAACACATCCCTCAATCGAGCGAACAGCCCGGGCCCGTAGAGCCTTTCTGGGCGTGCCCTTGCGCGCGACCCCCATGTTGGCGAGCAAAAACATGTCACGTAACCTCCCCTCCATGTTAACCGGTTACGCCCTACGGCAACGGCTGTGACTGGTCCGGTGCTGCAGCAAGTCAAACCACTTAGCGACCGGCGGCAGATCTGTACCCCGTAGTGCACTTGGCTGCAGGGGCTAAACTTCAACCACATTACGAGCCAAGTTTCTTTTGGGACACCCTGTTTGATCTGCACTTTGTCAAATCACCTCTATTGCAACCACACCGCTGAAGGTAAAGGGGCATGATGTTGCCAGCAACGTGGAGTCTACTTTTTTTCTCTTTTTTTTTGCTGTCAAACTTGCACTTTCGGATTGCTTATCCCATGACTGTGCTCAATGCCCATGTTGTTTCTAGGGCTTCCTGTGCGCATGTGTAGCAGGTATCTACATGCTATTTGAAAATGGGATATTCAAAAAGAAATAGTACACGTGAAATTGCAACTTTAGCCTTCAATTGTCCTAACAATTATCCGTGCCAAGTTTCCGTCGAGTCAAAAAAGCATTTTGACTACGAAACAACACAGGCAAATAACACTCGACTTTGACGCGCGGAACACAAGTCCTTGTGTAGTACGCGACTCCCTCCCTACTGCCAATAACACCAAACAACTTCGAAGCGACAAAAAACAACAACAAAAAACAAACAAACGCGGTTGTGACCAAGCATACAGTGACTGAGATTGGGAGAACTCATCCGAGTGGGGGTCAAAATCAAATCTGGAATGGCCAAGCCGACTCGCAATGACAACCTAACCCGTAACTACGCTTCTTTTTGCTGGTGGCAACAACTCAAAGAAAATATTTATTGGAGACGGACGGCACCCTGCTGTGGATCTACAGCGGGCTCCTGAGTGCCAAACTCCGCGATGGGAGCTGACGATGGTGTATATCCGAATCCTAGCTCACCTGATCCCATCGAGGATCATCACATCTTTAGAAGAACAATGATTCGGGGTCATTACACGGACGCAGAACAATGCAAACAGCCAGAGACCCTCGTGCATCCTCAGCCCACCACCCACCGTAGTTCCATCAACCCACTCCAGTCACAACAGGTTTGACGAACACCGCCGCACTAGGCCTAACCAGCTGTATTCAGCATGCAAGCCCTTGTCCGTCCCAACCCCAGCAGCAGTACTAGGCTGGCGTTTCACACCAGTTCCCGTGTCAGTTGCTCCCCGGCCTGCTCGGTGATAACGAGCCCCCACTGCTTCCCCGCGACTCTGCAAATCGAAGGAGGCCGGCCGGTCGGAGGCTGTTGTGAGCACGCCCAGCCGGCCCGGCGGCACAGCATGCCGTCCCTGCCGTGTCGTGGCGCGGCCTCGCCCGCGCGGTGGAATGCGACCTATCACCGCGGGCGCTGACTGCCGTCCCGTGGCGGATCGTACGGGACGCGTGATAGGTGCGTGTATGCAAGCTACTTATGAGTGGTTGTTCACCCGCACTAAATGTAATGTCGTGCCTGCCTGGGATAGCAGGGGCAGGACGCCGCTGGACTCGGTCCAATACAAATCGCCGCGTCGCAACACGTCTCTCTCTGACCGAGCTGAGCTGAACCGCTGGACGAAAACATCACAGAGACGAGGGTCCACTGTCGAGCCCGGCCCGGAACGGAGTCCGCCAATCTCAGCTGACGTCCGACGTGACGGCCCCCGCAAGCAAGTCATGTCCGAGGACACGCGAGATTCCAAACTTACGGGGCACCTCACGGAGGCCTTCGATCACCCGCCCCATCTTTGACGCGAATGACACACGCGGCCTGTCTGTAGTCTATTTATTGTCTCCATCTACGTGGCTGGCAATAACAAATGGCCTAAGCTCCAAACACGCTTTGTTACCTACGCACATACACTTACACATAATAAGTTAAAAAATAAAGCCAACGTTAAAAAGCGGCCGTAAAAGGTCTAACTGCAGGCAGAAATGCGAATCTTCGAACCAGGGAACGTTTCAGGGAGTTGCTAGGAACAGACACCGCTACCGCAGCACACACAACACATAACTTGTACATTCATTAGGTAGAGAAGACGGCACGCCGCCAGCGGCCGCTTCCTGCATCCCTGTAGAACCCTGGCGTCTCCTCCCATGGTGTGAACTGGTCAGGCCCGCTCACTTACGGAGGCAGGCCTGCTGTTCGCCGGCAGCGCACGGGCGCGTGTGAGACAGCGTGGCGGCGGCCCGAGTGGCGCGTGAGCCCGGCAACAACGCCAGCCACTGCACAACGCGTACGCCTCGATCCTCCCACCGCGCTGGACGTATTGGTAAGAAATTTGGCAACCAGGTAAGCGCACACTGTGAAGCGTCGATATGCCGCCATACGTAGCGAGGCGTGCGTGGCGGCCGGGCCCACGCTGCGCCCCTGTCCCACGCAGACCAGTGGGTCGGCAGCACAACTGCGTACACGGCGCAGCGGCCATCGACGGCGGCCGGCACAGCCCTGCATAGGTATTTGAACTAACATAGCCAAATTGTACCTGGAGGTCGGTCATGTGACGGTGCGGTTCACATTGAAAACCCAAAAGGAGAAATATGAGCTTGCTTCCATTAAAGGCGGACGGTAGGGGCAGTCTGACTACGTTACCCGCGCTCAAAACGCTCAAAAGCTCAAAAGGAGAGGAACAAATGCGAAGATCGGTGGTTGTAGAAAACGGGCACAACCTAGCTCACAAAATTGACACGACTGGAGTGGAGTCACATAGCTACACTCGTGATTGCAAACGCATCGTGAAATATGCCATACAAACGACCGATCCGAAGCCGAGCATTTGTACAAAAGCCGAGCGCCTGGGAGTGGCGCCTCCCGGCCGGCGGCGGCCACACTCTGCCCGCCAGCCCAGCCTCCAGGTGCCCCGTACACAACTCTCCACACCGCAGCCACCAGCTGCCATCACGCACACCAACCGGGCCTCACTCACACCAGCGCGCGCACAGTCCCGGCCCAGCTTCAGAAGAGGGCCCGGTCCGGCTACCCTCGCGCTCAGTCGGAGGCAGTGGCTGATTGTTCGGAACCTCCACAAAGGGGACCTCGACAATGGTCTGTCACTGATCATGTGCACATTTTGGCATATTGTTCACTGGGGAATGGATCCACATGCCTCCATTTTTCCCTCGCCTAATTTCTTTAAAAGCCCCCATGCTGCCTGTCGATCTACACCAGCCAGGCAGCCCGCAAAGGGACGCACCAACACGTGCACACGCAGCGGCAAGACCGGAACCCACACTGGCACGCACCATCGGCTCACATGGTGGTGATCAGGTCCTTCAGGGTGGGCAGCTTTTTCTCGTGTACGCGGTTGTGCTTCTTGAGGATAGAGGGCTGGGTGAAGCGCTTGCCGCACACGTCGCAGCCGAACGGCCGTTCGCCAGAGTGCGTCAGGTGATGGCGCCGCAAGTTGAAGCCGTTGGGGAAGTCGCGGCCGCACACGGAGCAGCGGAACTCCTGTTTCACCGGGTGCGGGTGCGCCTGGCGACAGTGGCGCCGCAGCTCGGTCGGCGTGGTGAACACAAACTCGCAGTGGCGGCACGCGTTGTCGCCCACATCGCTGTGGTACTGCTGCCGGTGTTCGGAGAACAGCGTGAAGCAGGGGAATGTGAGGCCGCAGGGCGCGCACGCCAGCGGCGCCGCCGTCGGCCCCGAGCGGGTGTGCGTCTTCAGGTGGTCCTTCTGGCGGAAGGCGCGCGTGCAGAACTCGCAGCTGAACGGCTTGACGTCGGCGTGCACGGTGCTATGCCGTTTCAGGTTGTACTTGTTGCGAAACTGTTTGTTGCAAATGGGGCAGGTGAGCTCGGCGTGCGGCGACACTTGGCCGCCGGCCGCCGGCTCGTGCAGCTCCACCTCGCACTCCGGCCGCTCGCCGGCCGGGTCGTCCACCGCCGCAGCCGACTCGTCGCCCGGCTCCCGCTTCACCAGCGTCGGTGCCAGCGACACGGGCGGCGGCGGCGGCGGCGGCTGTGGGCGGCAGGCGGCCGTCGGTCACACCACTCGGACGCGCCGCCACGACAGGGCACTGTGCTGCCCAGCCACACCGAGTGGCAACCTCAGCTATATGATGCGGAATGCGGTGCCGGAGGTGGCTGAGAGCGGGCACACAATATTTGGAGCGCGTGCCCAGCGTCAATACACTATGGAGTGCCGCACATATGTAATGTATCAAATGCCTATTACATGCACCCATTCAACTTCCAGCTTTAAGGAATCTTGAGCATTGGTAGTACTCGGCGGACCATGTAAGGCCTATCAATGAAGTTCCTCTTCATGGCAGTTATTTCAAACTCCAAAACACACACACACACACGTAGAGTGACCTCAAACACTATCCCTGTAGCGAGCCGCGACCACCCAGGAAACAGAGATGGACTCTTCTCGCCCAGTCATGTCACACGTGCATTCACGTTGCTCCGCATCTACAGCACCACACAATCGTGTCAAACCTCGCATCGACTTCACGAGGATTTCTCTGACGTCAAACATGACGCAAAAGAAAGATCGCTACGCCCACCGACTTGTAAACGGGCGAGCCTGTGCGCAGCATCCCACGCTCCAGAGGCCTGCCTCACCTGCAGCTGGCCGTACTTCTCTGCCCTGATCTTCATCATGTCGACGAACTTGCGCTTGATCTCCTCTCGGATCTCCAGGATCTTGGTTTCGTAAGAGTCGAGCGTCATGACCACCGCCGAGCACGACATGCAGATGAACTGAGGGAGCACCAGCGAGCGACGTTGAAGTACGACACATGTTACTGCTCGGGGACCAGGCCATCCGCAAGTCCCAATCAGCTGATAAAAGGAGAAACACGAAAGGCGGCGAGTCTCACATCTATGTCGATACTTCATTTTACCACGCACACGTTGAATTGGTGATGTGGGGTTCCTGGGAGATGTTCTATACAGATCAATGATGGCTAAATGACAGAAAACAAGCATCATAGCATACAACTCATCCCATTATGCATGTGTGCGAGGCAAACATAAAACGAAAAGAAAACATCGATGCACAGAAAACACATTACAAACACAGATGGTGATATCATACCTGCGATGTATTTTTCGATCAAACCGTTAGATAAGAGCAGCCTGCACACATTTCAACGATCACCGCATATATCACAAGCTACAAAACAGTGTTGAAGGACCATAATTGTATAGTATGCATGATTCACACAGCGATGCAACTGTGCATTAGTGCGCGCCATCTGTAGGCGAGGGGCGACTCTCCCGCACCGTGTGGACATCTGGCGCCACCTAGCGCCGCCAAGTGGGTTCTCAGGTTACAGTAACACCCAACACTTTCCCAGGCCATTATACCCAAGGCTTATCCCAGACCATTGCACCCAGAGCTTATCCCAGAACATTGTACCCTGAGCCTATCCCAGACCATTGTACCCAGAGCTTATTCCAGACCACTTACCACGCAGCAATTAGTCATAAAAAGGTAAAGATAACGCATCCAACTGGTAGCAGTAGCTACAGAACAAAAATAAACACAAGCAATGATACAAAACCCCAAACATCAACCCATTCTGAGAACAACAACTTGCCGCAAAAGGAATGATAAAAACTACCTTTCTAAATGTTTTCCCTTCCACATAAAATCTAGCATGCAGACAGCCATACACCAACCATGCGCATAAAAACTTAAGGTATCTGCTAGTGCCCACTCTTTCACGTATTGATCTATCAGGGGTAGACAGTCGCGTAAACGCAAGTGTAGCATGGGCCAAGGAGGACCGTGTGAAGCGACGTGCATGTGAGCCCCTCCCCCATCCCGCCCGAGCCCGCACCTTCATCTGCCAGTGGTGTGCGGCCGCATGGACCGAGGTGCCGCAGCCAGGGTGCACCACCGTGTCCAGCTTCTCGGCCAACGTCTCCTGCGTGCTCGGCAGCCGGAAGCCGTTGATGTCGACGCCGGTGGGCGGCTCGGTCGAGCTGGTGATGTACGAGTCGCAGAGGATGCAGCGCGAGTCGGGACTGCTGACGTGCGGCGACAGCGACTCGGCGTAGGCCATGCAGCCGGCCGTGCCGCCGTGCGACAGGTAGCTGCCCAGCTCCTCCATGCCCGCTGCCTGGGGCAGAGGTGGCTGCATCACACAGGTGGACCACAGAGGGGCTGTTAGTGCTGGTCCTGTAGACTTTGGAAAACGTCACAACTTGAGTTCTGGACAACTCTGAGATTCGCCAAGAATGAACCAGCCAACACAGATGGGTGGCTCCTATACCAATGCCCTCAGATGGGTTGGTCAATGCTGCCCTGCTGTCATGCCTGCTGTCCCAGCCAAAGGCGGTCTTCTTCAGATTCATACGTGCAATGGCTGTTAAGAATCCAGCCCAGAGTATACACAATACACTTTCCTACAATGCAGCCATATACATGTGCAGGTGTGATGAATGTGATAACTTTAATAGGCATTTGTTTCAAAATGATGCCACTCTAAGCTGACATGTGTAGAGACATTGATGAATGCAATGAGTTTAATAGACATTTGTTTCAAAATGACACCACTCTGAGCTGAAGTGTTTGTCAAGCCCACACAAGCAGTCAGTAGCTCTAACATACTAACTGCCACAACACAGGTCTCTCAATACCAGCCACCACAGCACAGGTCCCTCAATACCAGCTGCCCCACCACAAGTCTCTCAATACCAGCCTCCACACCATAGGTCTCTTAATATCAGCTGCAACAGCACAGGTCTCTCAATACCAGCCACCACAACACAGGTCTCTGAATACTAGCTGCCACAGCACAGGTTTTTCAATACCAGCTGCCACAGTACAAGTCCCTTAATATCAGCTGCCACACCACCGGTCTCTCAATACCAGCCTCCACGCCACAGGTCTATGAATACCAGCTGCAACAGCACAGGTCTCCCAATACCAGCTGCCACAGGACAGGTCTCTCAATACCAGCTGCCACAACACAGGTCTCTGAATAACAGCCACAACAGCTCAGGTCTCTGAATACCAGCTGCCACAACACAGGCCTCTCAGACACCTGGGTACACCTGACAAAAACATGGCCTAAATTGCAGGGAGGAGGGGCAGAGATTGCTCTAACTCTTTGCACCTGGTGTAATTGAGATAGCCCTTAAAGCCTTATTAACCATACAACAACTAGGAGAATAGAGAGATAGATGTATCATTGCAATGTTCATTTGTTTTGCACCATGACTTCAACTATCATTTCCCATCACCATTTTTGTTGTGATACAATGAACAACCAGTGGAATATGTGATCCCTTTCAGCCTGAAGTCTGCAGCAGCAAGACATTTCTGCTTTGTGCTGATTGTTTCCTGTCAAGATTGCAACAATAGCATGATAAAGCATTGTCACTCCAGACAGTGACTAAGAGATATAGAAGTAATATTATTATGCCAAAGTCCCATAAATTTTAAATATGTCAGCAACATGTCTGTTTCTTGTACCAATGACAGTGTTGCCTGAAATTACAGCTTAAAATACATATTTTCTGCAGTATACCATAATCATCAGGACCTTCCATCAGAAACACATTTCAAATCAATCTAAGCCACTATTTACAGTGGGCCATCCTCTCCTTGACTAAGTCTCTTTGGTTTTGCAGTTTAACTCCTAATTTTAGTGTGCATCATTGTATGCTAGTACCTAGGAATAAATGTCATGAAGGCAATACATCAATTAATAAAACAGTAGTATTCCTGTGGGGTACCAACCCTGCAGGCAGAGGAGATGCACCCAAGTTATATCTGATCTTGACAGAAGTTCCTACATTTGTATGGGATTTTGAGCTGGGAGTTATTTGAAGATCATTATCTGTATGCCACAGTCCTGCCCTTGCAAAGGCCCAAAACCCTCTAATTTCCAGCCATTCAGATCTGGCATCCACACATAATGGATATCATTTGGCTCTCAAATAATGTGGAGCAGGATGTGCGAGCTCCAATCACAAAGCACATGCTATCCTTCATGAGATGCTAAGCATGGTTTCTTCATTTGCTATTCATTACAGAAATTAGACTTGAGCTCAAATTATTGATGAAAAATGCAATAACCAAGGATGTGAACACAAGTACACATCTTAAACTAAGGGATAAATATGCAAGAACACTATGAGAAAGAGACAAAACACTACCACACAACAATATTTGGCTTGGCAAACACTTGTAAGCTTCTGCTGCCACCTCTTAACCAGTCTGATGTATTAAGTAGCAATTTTGCACAGCTTGTTTGGCCACACCTCAACATCTTACAATAATTCCATGACAATAAAAAGTAACAAAACATCATAACATAAGGGGAATATTTACTAAAAAGAAATTCTTTGTTGTCTAGAGCAGTCTTTCTCATTTAAAAGTACATCAGTAGTAATAAATGAGTTAATTTCATATATCTGATGCTTGTTTTAATATCTTGTGCTTTGTGATGCTTTGTGACCCAAATTGTATTGCCTTTTGTATTGATGTATTGCCTTCATAATGTTCATTCCAATGTACTACCATCCAATGATGCACACTAAAATTAGGAATTCTACTGCAAAACCAAGGAGACTGATTCAAGGAGAGGATGGCCCGCTGTAGATGGTGGCTTAGATAGATTTGAAACACATTTCTGATACAGGGTCCTGATGATTATGTTATACAGCAGAGTATGTGTATTTTAGGCTGTAATTTCAGCTAACGCTGTCAGGACATCATTTAACAACAAATCCACATTAGCAGTGAGCAGATATCACAAATAAGCAATAGTCAATCACAGGTGCCAAAATCTATCAATGTGAGCACAGCAGTAAATATGCATAGGAATACACATATTCGGTCGAAAGGTACAGTACCCATAGCACGCATTTACAATAACACATTCAGCACACCACCGCGATAGACCGCACAGGCAGACCGGCAATGATTATTTCGCGCTGCGTTCCCCACCAGGACAAAATTCACCCCTCCGAACGTGAAAAACGAGCCCATCCAGAGTATGATTACCTTGTTACATTCTGTGGGGAGAAATCATGACAAATAATACGTTTAAAGCACCGTCACAACCACACACTGTGCGACCACACAGAGCACAAGGCTCGCTTGGAGAGTGCATTAACCTCCATACAAAACATTTAGACAGACATTGCGCACATCGAACTATGTCAAAAGCAGTCAACTACTAAACTCATAAAATTGGCTTAAAACGTCTAAACGTCAGCATTGGTACGGCAGAAAATTTTAATTCGCTTCCTTCACACACTGATTGTGCTTAATGCTTGCAGTTTAGTATTTAAATACTTCAAGTATCGTATTTTTCAACGTAGATACAAGCTGAACGTTTTGTTCATTGAAAATGAAGTTGCTGGTGCGCCAACTAGGGCTAAGCCCCGGACACGGGGCCGGACTCCATATCGAACCCCGAAAATTGGCGTCTCTCTTGAAAGTAACATGGAGTGGAAAAGGTCCTTCAAAGGCGTAAGTGACGTCAAATTCATTAGCCCCAAATGGTAGACGGACGGTGGAGGATGAAAGATAGATGGTTCTCAGGACGCGGTAGAAGGGCACGCATCAATACTCACTACCAATGAGATTGGCGAAACCGAGGGGCTTGGAAAGCCTAACCCTTAGCCCAGGCTCTCCAAGCCTAATGAGAAGGCTGACCTCACGTTGAATGGGAAGGGTTTCCAAGCCACAGTGGAGCAATGCCAGGGGCCGGGATTGCTGGCTAAAAATGGCCATAGAAAAAGCCAGGACAGGCATGTTTCAACGAGGAAACGACCATTTCACGCGATCACGACCATTTGATTGAAGGTCGGTGTAGCCGTTAGCAGTGGCGTGAGAGCAATTTTGAAGTAAGGGACAAGACAACTCCGTGAGTAAGAACCGATAAAGGTAAGCAAAGTGAACCGCCAACTAATCTCTGGTATGCGCGTTCCGTACGCTTGGTCCGTGAAGTCCAAGGAACTGCAAGTATGTATGCAACTGCAATTTACCACAAGGCCTCGGATAAGGAATCTTCAATGATAGGGGCGATGAAAATCCCACAGGCTACACTCCGGGACGATTTTTTGGAAGACCAAAGCCACCGGTGATATATATTTCCGATCAGATCTGTGGCACTAAGTTTTCTTCTTGACTGGCCTCTGATAAGGCAATTATAATTTAAATGAAATGAATTTAATAGCAAAAAATGAGCATGAACGAGCGTAAAGTAACTGTTGCAGTATCTAACAACAATGGCAGCTCCTAACTTCGGTCGAATGCGCAGTGTGTTTTCTTCATGCGTCGTAGCTCAGCTGAAGTTCATAAAATTCGTCCAAATTTCGAGATGGAGGTTCTTAGTCAAGTTGAAAAGATGACTGTTTTTTGTACGCCATATGAAACAATTACAGCTCCAGGTTTCCTCTGCTTGGCTTGCTTACTTTACAACGAGGCACGGGAAGCGGTTCTTCTGCCACAATTGCTCGTATTTCGAGATATAACCTTAGGGCTGTCGCACCTTTAGGGCATTTTTCAAAAACATACTCTTGTGAAACCTCAGGACCAGTTACGTCTTATAATATCACGGGGTAGTGTCGCTGCAGCAGCATTAAGACATAACAAAGATATCAATCTTAATCATGTTTTAGACCAAATGAAGTTGTCAGCGCTTTGTAACAGCAATACGCTTCAGCCCTGCAGTCGCACCCACTGTCCTCATGACAACCGCCGTGGCTACTCTTCTGGTGCAAATAAAAGAACGTTGGTGATGGATCCAGCGGGCGGCCAGGGTCTGTTACCGAGAAGTGCATCGGTTAAAATTTGAACTAAGGCGGCAAAATGAGCTATGTGACACTCCCAGTCAGAAAACTAAAGTCTGCCTTAAAAACGTGATAAGCGCAATGCCTTCTTCTTTTTCTTTCTTTTTCAGACCAAAAGATTCGCCTACAAACTTCCAGCGGCGCGGGCAGCAGACGGGCTTCTGGGTGGCGTTACCGGGCCGGGCGTCCGCCGCCGACCGAGACGGCTATATGTGTGGACTGGAGTGGTGGCGGGCGCCTGGCCCGTGTCGGCTGACGGATCGGGCGAGTGGGCAGTGTGTCGTGGGTTCCCTGGCGGCGATGACCATATCTTGTTATTGTTAGGAGAGGCGCCCAGATTTAAGCGTTCCGCTTATGCGCAAATCCACTCATATTATGTACTGCTTAATGTCCATAATACAAAATAAACATCAAATTAAATAAAAAACTTTGCGGGAGCTGAAAATAGCGTGGAGGTGGTTCTTTACGCTTTTTACGATCTTTTTATTAGAAACGTATCGTTGAATTCGCGCAACAGTAGCTTCATGTTCGCTTATGCTTTGTCCAAACAAAGCATTTATTACACAAACGTTTTTACTAATTCGTGTGTTGCAAACATTTAAGAACATGCATGATGGACGAGCGCGGCAAATGAATTGTCTTACTTTCGTACTGGTGAACAGGGAATCCATTGATATTTCTTCCGCAGCAGCGACTACTTCAAATCGAAATCCTGACCTTTTCGAAGGATTTCGAGAAAACCAGAATTAGTGCTCAAATTGTACGCGTCTGATCTAACAATAAGTGAAAACTACAAAAAGGTGACATATTCCCTTTAACCATGAACTAAACAGACCGCTACAACCACCTGTGAAATACTTTCATCTTGTAGCTGTGTTCGAAGAAGTGTTTCAGCGGGAGCTGACAGCTAATTAAGAATGACAACTTACGAAGGTACAGTTCTCACGTGTGTTTTATTTGTCATTAGAGGTTAAATTGAGATGAAGCACACTCAATTCACATGGATTATCATGCAAACGTTAGATTTCCCTGCAAAGGATTGGATCGGATAATTTGACGCATGTGAAAAAGGACGCAAAGTGCGTGATTGCATCTATAAACATGTGATTTAGCTCGACTGGATTCTGACAATTAAATACATTTGGGTCGGCTGGCAGGTCACGCAAAATTGCAGAATATGACCGCATTCGCTGTTTTCCGAACACATTTTTTTTCTTCGCCATGTAGAGAAGATGAACAGATTTCGACCAGAAAAAAACACCAGCGACAGCGGCAAAAACAAACCAAATTTTGACGGACAAAGCTTCCTGTCTTGCATACTCAACGTGTTTTACGCGCTTGCGCCCTCCTTCTCTGGTAAACGAAGTCGAAAACTTTGAACAGCGCCTCTAAAACCCATAGCGCCCGTTCAAAGACTTGTGCCCGCCTGCTCACACCACCTCAGGAAATTCGGGGCGCCCGCCTGCCGGTGTGACATGTTCATGCATCGAGATGGAGTCGCCCGCCCGCTGATTCAGCCGCTGCCCTGCAGTGTGTTGGCAGAGCTGCGTCGCGTCGGCTGCGACCAGGGGTCACATCTGCGACTGCTGCGGTCACGTCGGCTGCGACCAGGGGTCACATCTGTGACCTCTGGGGTCGCATCGGCTGCGACCAGGGGTCACACCTGTGACCGCTGGGGTCGTGTCGGCTGTGGCCAAGGGTCACACCTGTGACCGCTGGGGTCGTGTCGGCTGTGGCCAAGGGTCACATCTGCGACTGCTGCGGTCACGTCGGCGAGGACCAGGGGTCACATCTGTGACCTCTGGGGTCGCATCGGCTGCGACCAGGGGTCACACCTGTGACCGCTGGGGTCGTGTCGGCTGTGGCCAAGGGTCACATCTGTGACTGCTGCGGTCACGTCGGCGAGGACCAGGGGTCACGCCTGTGACTGTTGGGGTCGCGTCGACGGCGACCAGGGGTCACATCTGTGACTGCGTCTTCGCACTATGGCGCGAGCGGCGTCGCCCAGCTCCTGATGTGACGTCATAGCCAGCCAGTGTTTGCTGTCTCAGTCTTATCTGTCGCCTCGACCTGACAAGACTGAGGGCGGGGCGCCAGGGTGCAGATCGCCGCCCCCGGAGTGGAGATCAAGCAGATCGTCACCTGTAATGCGTGCTGTGTGATACAGAGGTGCAGATCGCCGCCCCCGGAGTGAAGATCAAGCAGATCGTCACCTGTAACGCGTGCTGTGTGATACAGAGGTGCAGATCGCCGCCCCCGGAGTGAAGATCAAGCAGATCGTCACCTGTAACGCGTGCTGTGTGATACAGAGGTGCAGATCGCCGCCCCCGGAGTGAAGATCAAGCAGATCGTCACCTGTAACGCGTGCTGTGTGGTGCAGAGGCGCAGATCGCCGCCCCCGGAGTGAAAATCAAGCAGATCGTCACCTGTAACGCGTGCTGTGTGGTGCAGAGGCGCAGATCGCCGCCCCCGGAGTGAAAATCAAGCAGATCGTCACCTGTAACGCGTGCTGTGTGGTGCAGAGGCGCAGATCGCCGCCCCCCGGGGTGGAGATCAAGCACATCGTCACCTGTAACGCGTGCTGTGTGGTACAGAGGTGCAGATCGCCGCCCCCGGAGTGAAGATCAAGCAGATCGTCACCTGTAACGCGTGCTGTGTGATACAGAGGTGCAGATCGCCGCGCCCGGAGTGAAGATCAAGCAGATCGTCACCTGTAACGCGTGCTGTGTGATACAGAGGTGCAGATCGCCGCCCCTGGAGTGAAGATCAAGCAGATTGCCACCTGTAACGCGTGCTGTGTGGTACAGAGGTGCAGACCGCCGCCCCCCGGGGTGAAGATCAAGCAGATCGTCGCCCGTAAGGTGTGCTGTGTGGTACAGAGGTGCAGACCGCCGCCCGCCGGAGTGAAGATCAAGCAGATCGTCGTCTGTAAGGCGTGCTGTGTGGTACAGAGGTGCAGATCAGCCGCCAACCGAACCGGACCATCCCTGCCAGCTGTACTGGTAGTCGGACGTGACCAACAGGTAGCGTATGCCGCCGAGTGCGGCGTAATGCGGATAGTTATGTATGTCCGTCTAATGCAGAAACCCTGATGACTGGCGCATCAACGCCCGAACAAACGCAGTCTGCAAACTGATTTTGCGTTTTTTCCTATTTCGGTTTTTCTACCTACAGATCATGGGCGACATGCATGGTAAGATTAAACAAATATGATGAGGCATGGTGTCATGCTTGTCTACAACATATGCATGATGTGAATACACATCGTGGGAAACATCGGTTTCCCTTCCTGCCGCATAATCATCGCTGGCGTCCAGTATTTTGAACCATTATAAACTTATTTGTGCGTTAAAAGTTGAGAGCCCAAATTAATCAAAAGGTCAGATAGCTGTGCTAGTGTGTGCGCAATATCCACGATTCTTTAGCAGGAGCTTGGATGGAGGAGGGCGTCAAGTTGACTCCCCCGGAAAAGTCCTCCAAAATCATTATTGACTCGTGGGGCGCAGCCATACCTAACTTCAAATAGCTGAGGGCAACTGAAAGCAAACATTTTAGTCCAAGCAATCAGCGCACCTTATATAACTTCTCAGACAATTAGGCAACTGTATTAAAAAATACGACCAATTCCATAGACCTTGAGTCAGATATAAAGGTCAGACCGAGGTTTTCTTTTGCTTTTTTGCCGGAGAACTTGCTTTATGAGGTGATGTTTTAAGCTAATTTCGACTTTCGTGATTACTGGGACGTAAACAAACATCTTATTTCGACTTCTCGAAGGTCAGAGAAGGTCACGTACCAAAAATGCCGCAGATCGAATGTGTGCTTTTTGGAACATGCCGCCTAGCGTAGTCATTGACACTTATTGAAATTCCAAAATCAAAACAATTTCGGAGCTTTTTAGCCCCCATGACATTCTAAGCGTTAGACTTGTCACTGACCTAAAATGAACACCAGTGGTCTTCTGCCAACAACAGGCATCTAGGTTTAAGGCGGTCACATCAAGAGGTATGGAGGCGCAATATTTTTTATGGATACCAATCTCGAGTTTGTGCTTGTTTGACATTGTTTGACCCGACGGTCATGGCTTAGGAACCTCACATCTTTCGACATGTGATTTCACGTGCAGACTAATCCACCTTGTGTTTTTCATGTTTCTAAATTTCTTAGTTTTCGAGATATCATGAGGGTGTGTTGAAAATGACCCCCACCAGAGCGCGTTGCATTTAATCAACCACCCGGAAAGTGACATGTGTAGATGTCGAGAGAGCTACTGCTCTGTGTGTAATTCCACATTTTCAGTATGAAATAGGAAGAGATACTTAAACGTTTCTCAACTTGCGAACTGTACTCACAAGAGGCATGCTTCTTCATGTTATTTCAAGATTGTCAATTTGCATTTGTTTCCATGGGAGATGCACCATAGACGTTTGCGTGGTATAGGCCGCGCCACTAGCGCCCTTTCCCCGCTTCATGCAGAATTTCAAGCCAACTTTAGGACTTCGTATAGCTTACTGTCATATATTGCCGTGTTAACAGCGCTACGACCGAACGCTCCAATCCCACTTCTGCGCTGGCCCAAACAGATCACGCAAAATAGGCGTGAAGGGAACGTCTGTTGCCTAGCTGTACACACATTCATCTGGTTAAATGCACTCTTTGTAAGCCGTGACACTGATTTCAGCACACCACTCTCACCGATGAACAGAAAAATTATCTATAAGCGCAAATAACAGTGCAGTTCGTTTGGTCTGATTTATACAGGAATTCAGACTGACTTAGGCGGACGCGGATACCCCGTGTAACTCAACCTGGCGCATTGGCGTCACAAGGATGAGGTTCCCGCAGTGACGTCAAAGAGGCCTAGTCGCCAGGCGGTGAATTTAAGCTAACCTGGAAACTCCCGCTGCGCAGAGCACAATTTCGATTCTTTTGGGAATGTAGCTGTGTCCCAAAATGTCAATCTGCATACTCTGCACGTGCATCTGCATGACACATCTCCAACCACTCGGATCTTCAGTTAACTGCTGTTATCGAGTGAACCAGCCGTTGCAAGGCATTGCTCGTAGGCCACTGAACCGGAATCGCCGAGTTTCATGCTGATTATGTTAAGTATACTTTTTAATCAGTATATAAGTCTGAAATGATATGTATGTGTGCAATACCCGGTGGCTACATGCTAATCCTCATGCAAGAAGCTCTTCTTAGCTCAAAATAAGACAGTAGTAAAAGTCTTATTCCTCGGAGAAAACCAAGAGCATGGAGATATAGATGGGTTGATATCTCGGCAACATGCCTGTATCGCAACAATAGCGGAAGTGAATATTTATTTCCGCTAATTTTTCTCCGAGGAATAAGGCCATTACTACTGCTTTTCTACGTAAAAAATGCTCCTCGCAAATGCGCTGAACAACTTACGTAACTTCTCAGCTCGAGACAAAGATAATGGATTGATGTTGTCCACATATGTGACTGGGTAGCTTCTCCCAGGGCCTCCTCAACTGCTATGGGAAGAGACTTTCTTCACAGGAGAAAGCGAAGTGTTCATCTGACGAAGAAATGAGCATTACCACACCTACAAAGAGTGATTACACATAAGCGCTCAGCAGAAATACATAGTATTCAACTAAATGTTATTGTAAAAATTACCACATAACATGAATGACACTCATGCGTGCCGCAGTCGGCAGCATGACCAAGTAAACACCAGGGACGAAGCCAAGGGGAGGCCCGTAGGGCTATGCCCCCACCCTGAGCCATGAACTTCATTCTAGGTAATGGGCGATGTCGGAAAAGCTTGGTCGCAATTCGCAGAGTTTCGGAGACAGTATCATAGTTCCCGAGGAAACTGTTGACTTCGTGTCTGCTAGGCACGCAGACAGGAAGGCCGAATATTGTACTCGGGATTTGAAACCTGAAATTCGGGTACTCTTACACCAATAAAACAAAGATGCCTATTAAAATCCGTTTCACACATTAACCTGCAACGTAACGTATCATGAAGTGTTCTGCTCTGGCGGCTAAGCGGTTCATTGTTGCTTTAATGCCAGCGAATGCAGGTTTGTTTAAAAGCACGTAAGATTAACATAAATAACAACAGTAATTTTTAAGCTTTTGAGTTTGCATTTGCACCATATTCACCAGACGTTTCCACCAGACGCATTCACCAGACGTAGGTTAGGTTAGGTTAGGTTAGTTATTATAAATGCATAAGGCCCAGGACACTGCTGAACACAAGTGCCCGACCCTTTGCTATTAAAAGTTCTTCAATGCATAATGTGCGTCAGTGATGCCAACAATGAGTGACTTATACCGCTGCGTTTACAGCAAAAGCTAATCCTAAGCATTTTCAGACATCAGAATCATCAACACCAACAGCCTGGCATCAACATCAACACCACACAGAATCGTTACAAAACACGGCAGTAACCGAGCAGGTACAAAGCGGACTTGGTGCAACGAGTCTGCAGCGTCGCGCGGGTGCCGACTTTCCCCCATGGTCCGTTCCACAGTGCGCACTGCAGGCATCACCTGAGGTGTAACGGGCGGAGTAAGGGGAGACCTGGCCGGTGTCACGCGAGCGTGGCCGGCCGGGGGCCGATGCGCCACGGCTCCCCGCCCGCCGCCGCATGTCAGCGCTCGAGCGAGCGGCGGGGCGTGACACGCTGTCACGCCGCCTCGCCTCGTGACACGGCCACCGCGCGTGGGAGAGGCCGTTCAGATGAGCTCGCGGCGTCGGTGGGGCAGACGCGCACGTCGATGTGGCGGCCACGACGTCCGGGCTTCTCCTCCCCGCCGGCTCTTTGAGAGGAGCTGTGTGTTAGTGCGACGGCTGGTCTGTGGGAGTTCCCCGCGCCTCTCAGCCAATCAGAAGCCTCCCAGCCGGCGGTCGGTCGGCCTGACCGCGCGCCCACGGGGCAGAGCCGGGCCATGACCGGGCGAGAGCGGTGGGGGAGGGGCGCGCGGGAAGAGTTGGCGCCAGCCGGCCGCGGCGAGCCGGGACGGGGCAGGTGATTCGCGACCCGTAGCCGCCTCCCCGCAGAGAAGGGGAGTGTGTACTCGCCGACGGTGTCAGGCGCGGGGGCGGAGCGGCGTGGTCTCTGGACATTGGAGCGGGCGCGGTAGCCTGGCGCTGCGGCCGTGGTGCTATTGATGTGAGCTGACTGAAATCAGGAGTACTCTCAACGATACGGTAAGCTCTGCGAAAATATATGGCTTATATCGTTTAGTTACTGAAATCTTAATGATTGAAGACAGGTGTTGGCACTGAACACGCTGTTAGTATAACATTGTCTTGCCCATCATGCGCGTAAACCAGGTCACGTTGCTTTTATGCACATAACTTCAAGGTAAAATGTATGGTGCATTCCGTGACATAATGTATGATTCTCTGATAATAAAAGCTGCGTTGTCAATTCCACCCACTCATTCTCCATAGTTTCTCAACCATTGATGTCCTTTGAGGGAATGTTCCACATTGAAAAATGTAGAAGCAAGCATCAGGTACGATGAAAAAGCTCACCTATAACTATGGGCACACCTTTAAGTGGAAGGGCTGCTCCGTGCAAACATTTTCTCTGTTAAGTAAATATGCTCCCCAATACATCATTGCTTGATTACGTCATCGTACCTTGCACAGCATTGTCGGAGGGCCAATTAATGACCGTTTTATCTGGAGATCGTGTTTACGAACGACAGATATGAACAATAATCTTATCTTTATCAATCAAAAGATATATGGATGACAATTTTTTCTTTAAAATATGATTATCGACTCGGCAATCATATTTGTATTGCCCTCGATCGCCGCATGGCCGATGCAATGGCATGATTTGAATAACCTTATCATGACGTCATGGATGCCCGGGTGACCTTGAAACAAACTCCCCGAAACAGTTTTGCCAATCCGTGCGGTCGTGTAGCTCAGAAACTAGAAGGGCAGCGCCACAGCCCTGCTACACCCTGCCACGGTCTTAAGAAGGGCAGGGCTGAAAACCGGACCTAGTGGCCTTCAAGGTGGCTATTACAACTGAAACCCCATACATATGTGGAACACTATGTTATTATTGCTTGCGCACATCGTATACTTATCCACTTAGATACCTACATACCCATCACCAGCTCACTTAGTTATGCAACTCATAATTTGGTTACTCTCGCTTACACTATATTATTGTTTGCACCTCACGCCCAGCTAGTCCAGACCGTAATTATATAATCCACCAACGCGACGTAGGTACGTGCCGCCCACGTGGGCGTCCGGCATTCTCGGGACATGATACACCTGTCTGCTTCAGAAAGATGTCTGGCGACGCTGCGCAAATGAACATGCCTGAAGTCCAGTTGACCCCGGAGGAGATTCAGAAGATCATGGACGTCATCAAGAGGGACGACGCCATCAGACGAGAGGAGAGCGTCCGCATTCGGTGAGGATCGTAGGATAATGCAGTGCAGTCATAGCGCAGTAGCAGTGAAGTGTAGTGGTGCGATGTAATGTGGTGGCAGACAAGATAGGATGGAGCAGACTGGATAGGATCATGCCGTGTCTCTAAACCAGCGTTTTGTGGGTATTTTCTGCTTATCAATCTGGGCTCTTGTGAACTGAAAGCACAAATTGCCCCTGTGGCAGATCAGTCATTCCAGCGCCCGAGTGCGTTGAAACAATTTTGCACTGACCAGATGTTGCCATGGGGGAAGACGACCCTCCGAACGGCCTGCTAACGTTTGCTTTCTGATATTGCCCGCCGCTGTTGTTTGGATTAGAGCCCTTTCGACCAGGAATGATAATTTCAGGGCTATGGTATGAAAGAGAATGGATAACGGTGGGGCAGAACTACATGCGCCCAGGGGAGGGGGGGGGGCTGACCACCAAGCCCTAGCCCGCGCAGACACCCCCTGCGGGGTGTGCGCTGGGCGCCCGGTCGGAGTCCCCCCCCCCCCCCCCAGGGGCCTCACGGCCCACTCGAGGCTGACGCCTGCAGCCTGCCCCGGATAAGCGGGGCGTCGCGGGGATTCAGGATAAAGCGAGAAAGAGGATTAGAGGCTCTGATGTCTGATACTGCCTGCCGCGGCCAGTGCAAACATGCAGCCTTCAGCTGACAGCTGATAGTAAGGCATTCGTCCGGGGCTGTTAATATCGCTGCTGCATTCCTTGTCATTTGACATTGTAAACAGTCGTCACTTTGTGAAACAAGTGCACGCGGATAGACACACAAAGTCACGCACATTTCTTTGGCTTCTTCTCTGTAGCAGCAGAGACCTCTCCTCACTGTCACGACCAAAACTAAGCCCCGTAACAGGAAACGATTACTCGAGCTAGAAACACAACAGAAACACAACTAGAAACCAAAGTGTCAGTCCACAGCCCCCCCCCCCCCCCCCCCCCCCCGGTCTGCTATGGATCTAGCCCGCAAAAGTCTGCTTTGCTGCCATCTGGCCCTGTAGTAATTCGCAAGTGTCGGTTTAAGTGCGACCTGTACCTTGTAATAAAGTTTTCTTAGTTCTTGACCTATACTTAGATGTGCATCAAGCATGCTATCTACGTCATGCAATGCGAAGCCTTGTTTGCCCCATGCCAGCGATATGGCTGAGGCAGCAGTAATAAAATAACCAGACTATGGAATGTTTCTAGTTACTTCTCACATCTCCGTTGCGCCAAATTAGATCTCAAGCGCTGTGATGCCAGTTTTTAACTACAAATGAGCACGAAGAAAGTGAAATTCAAACAGGACCTGTCACCAAAATATTACAGAGATTTCACCGGTGTACCTTATCTCAGTATACCAAACTATGTCTTCAAAGAGCAAAGCAATGCTGGATATTTCGAATCGTGGAAGCCCCCTCAACTGACAACAATGTAAAACAGCACAAATAATTTACCGTCCTGGGAGAGTCGAAGCCTTTTACATGAGCCACTAACGCTAAAATCAGTATATCTGCCACACAGACGGTGTGACGTCACAGACGTCACAGTAGCCGCAACGACTGATGACGAATTCAACAAAGAAATGGAGGCCCTCTTATGTTATTTTCTGTCCTACTGTGCAACATCTTTGCTGTCCTACATCATGCAACACCACGGAGGAAAAACTGCACAACGGTTTGGAAACGCGTAAAACATTGCTGTTTTACGTCACGAATGTCCGTGCTTCAACCCGTGGCCACAGTCCGTCACCATGCTTTTTGCGTCATGCAATAGCGCGGTGATGTGGTCATTTTTTGGGAAGCTATTCTTGACTCTTTCGGTGAGATGCTTGCAAAAAATGTACAAGATAACAGGGACATTGCTGTCCAATAATTAAATTTTTGCCACTTGAGTGACATTCCTATTAAGTAATGCCACAAAAACTGTGATATATTGTGCATCTTAAATGCATATTTATGCGGAAGGCAAACTGAGTACAGTATATCCCAGACATTTGTTCACATGCCCTGGCCACTGGAACTTTTATTAGCTATGTCAAATAATTGATCGATATCATATTTTGAATTTTTTGCCACAGACCTGTGTGCAGATATCGGAGGAGATCGCAGAAGGGAGCAGAACCACACTCTTTGTGAGGCGCCTTATGTTTAGCAGCAGTTGATGAGACTGTTAATTTCCGTAGCAGTTCCTGTTATCGCGATCGTAAACGGTGTGTACTTGTATTTGTTAAAAACCGAAAGATGAAACAGGCATAAATGCACCATTTCTACATTACCACTATTCATGCTCCAAGTACTGATACGCATGAAATGCAGCAACAGCTGGAGCTGCGTTGCTCAGTGGAAAAGGCTAGGGTACCAAAAGTGACATTTCCAGCCATTTCAATACTCATTGATATTGATTCTCAGGTATGGATTGTGTATGATACGAACACATTTAAGAGCACCTCACGCTCACGAGAACGTCAGGGGCAGTGTGTTGTGTTTATATAAAGCGCCCATCTTACTACCACTGAATGAAATCATGCCAAGCTTTCATAATCTGAGAAGTTATTCCTGACTTTTTGGGTGAGATGATTGAAAAAAACGGTTGAATTTGACCTTTCTGGTTTAGTGGTGTGCCATCAAAATTGGATACTTTCATAATTGTATGGTGTGTGACAGCGGACTCTGTTTTTTTTTGTAGGATTTCATACCGAGGTATTCGCAAAACCTGCAAACTTTTGCTTGTTAAAATTGTTTCCTACAAAAACCCACCAAGTCTGACCGACAGCCCGGCTAAAATCCCGCGGGTTCTTACCGGGCCAGACGTGGCGGGATGGTGGGTTGCAGCTGTGGGTCAGGCGTGGCGGGATGGTGGGTTACAGTGGTGGGTCAGACGTGGCGGGACGGTGGGTCACAGCGGTGGGTCAGACGTGACGGGATGGTGGGTTACAGTGGTGGGTCAGACGTGGCGGGATGGTGGGATGCACAGTGGAGTCAGTGGTTCGAACCATGCCATCCTGACTATTGGCGTCTTTGTTGTTATATGCAGTTTAGGTAAAACCATGTTTTTGCCCTTCCCTTCTTTAAATGTCTATGAGATTTACTTAAGAACATTTTTGCGGTTTTCGTCAACATCTGTACCGCCCACGAGTTCCATTTTACTTACTAACTGTCAATGTTGCGCTCTGATCAATGGATAGTGTACAGGGAACAACAAGCTGAGTAATTACAGATTTAAGTTAATACTGCTGTTGTGAGCGATGTATTTGTGTTCCATTTTAATTGTGTGGCTGTTTTCGGCGTTACTGGTATGAGGCGTTACACGGGTTATCTGCAGTCGCTGATGCATCCATGTTAGCAGGCCGCATTGCAAAACGTCCACCAGGAGTTGAAGAAACTGGGTCGTCTATTAGCACACTGGTATGAGTGGGTCGAGCGTACATTATTTGCACCGGGAGGAAAAACTGGGTAATATGGTAGCACTCAGGATATTTATGCAGTTCCAAAAGGTTTCACGTACTAGGAGCGGACTAATAGTCTGCACGCACTAGGAGCGGACTATACTTTCATCTCCATCCTCCTCCCCCGGCTCGCGTCCCCCTACAAGTTTCCGAAAAGCTTGCGGTATTCTGAACCCACTCCATTTTGTTTTTGCCTCTGATGATCCCTTGCTGGCCGGAGGGGGAGGGGGGGCCGTGCGCTGACATTTGGAAAAAAGCTGCGTCTTTAGTTCGAGTTATAGTTTTCCGTTACAGGGTTTAGTTGTGGTTATAACAGAGGCGAGAAGCCTCTGCTGCTAAAGAGAAGAAGACAAAGAAACGTGCGTAACTTTGTGTCTCTCCGCGTGTATCTACACCGCAAATGACTACTCGCTACTTGACAGTGTTAAGTGACAAGGAATGCAACTGCGATATTAATCCACCCCTGATGCATTGCACCTATAACTGCAAGCATATGTATGCCGTTTAGAGAGATTTGCTTCCTGAACTTGATCGCAATTCCATTTGTTTTGCAGCGGCATTGATGGTATAGTGGTGAGGACGCTCGGCTCTGGACGTGTTGGTCTCGGGTTCGAGCATCTGGCAAACCACCACCACATCCCACATCCCACAAGCCCCAGTCAGTATCATTATTCGCCTTGCTCATGTTCTTTTTTAGTCTCGGAAGGACCGCTGTCTCCATTATCGTGTTCGTTTATGGGTACACTGCATATAAGAACTACACATTAAAACCGCCATATATCGGGCCCGTGGATAAGGCAGCATTAACCTCATACGTTAAAATGCGCCTTCAACTTCCTGACATCCTTTTCCCATTTATGCAATGCACACGCATTGCAGACTAATGAGCAAGGTTTATTGTCACACTGGGCAGTTTGCATTCTTTGCAAATGAAGCATTATCAATTTACGAACCAAACATTCATTTTGTTATGCCAACCATGCATCAAATCCATGGCAAACCACAGGTTCAACAGTAAGGATCCGGTTCCTTTTGTTCCTTAGCTCAGCTGGTGAAGCAACGGACTCCCAATCAGATGCCCAGTGCCCCACGCACGACTTAAGCGCGTCCCCTGTTACCTCACTATGTCCAATTCCTCTCCCTCCGCCCCCCCCCCCCAAAAAAAAATGCACGAGTGGGCCATTGCAGCCCCGTGAATTGCGGAGACTTGGGCCAGGTCATGCGACGGCGGGCCGTGCTGGCGTGCCTGGCGTGACCGTGCCGCTCTCACGCCTCGCGTGACGCCCCCAGCTTTATCTGCGTGAGCGGTTCCCAAGTGGACCATCGCCGCCCAGTTCAGGGAACCCACGACGCTGGAACGGTGTAGCCGGGAACTGAGCTTGCATCGATGTACAATTGAGACGTAGCGGGTGAGCGAGCATAGTGAACGAAGAAACGCATTCACACGGGCGAGGCCCAATCCGGATGCGTCTGGTTCGTTGATCTGTCTGCTCGCTTTCTTATTTGCAAAATGTCGCACGATCGCAAAACGTACTACATCGGGTAATGGCTCAACA